AGCTTATTAGGTAGGTTATACGTTACTTTTTCTCTCTCCCTCTTGCCTTTAATATGTCCTGTGAGTGTCAAATTTACTAAGCCCTCTTTCCACATTAGATTCCAACTGCTTCTTTCTGATGCTAAGGAAAACTCCTTTTTGTTTCCATTTTCTCTAAAATTTCGTCGTTACTTACCTGTTTAATCCACGATACTCTCAGCATCCTTCTGTAGAACTAGCTTTCTATGAAGTCTCTTCTTCAGCTGTGATTCATTTAGTAGCAATTAATTATTCATTGGTCTCTCTTTCTCTCTGTCTGTCTCTCAGAGTTATAAAGTCCCTGTTGGGAATAGGAGCACAGCCAAAATTCCGCTCAGTGGTGCTGCTGCGGTTTCAGCCGCTTTTTACAGGATGTGTTTGCTAGATCCATGTCTAACCGGTTTTGAAATCAAAGTTGTCCTTCTCCTGGACTGGTTACCAACTACCCTACTATTTGACCCCTAGATGGTGTGTGTGTGGGGGGTAGATTCACGCGGCACCCTCAGCTGGAATTCGAAATCGGTTCGACGATCCCACTGTCCGCAAGGATGGTCGCAATGCTAAGCGCATATCCAACGCACTAATTACCAGATGTTCTTGGAGTTTTGCTTCTGCTGTTACAAATCTCATTATAATTCCAAAGATTCTCATTCCCGCGAAGCGATGGTTTCTTTTTGAGAATTTCAAATAATTGCTATGACAACTGTACGGATTCCGCAAAAATATGATTGCTTGCTCAGACAAAGATGTCTTCGAAAGTAATGATAAAACTTTCAGGAAATGCTTAAGAACAATATGTCGCATAAGTTTCAGCTTATAGTAAGTTTACTGATTAAAATACTGATAATTGCTTGTGTCTGTGGCATGAATATATATATATATATATAGTATATATATATAGATATACTATGGTGCAATTAATAGCGATTCGGAATGTGAAATTGGAGAGTAGAGTTCGAATTTGTTGTAACCTAGGAAAGGTTACTGAATAGAATAATCACACAAAGATTGGTAATGGACGATAATACTTAGGACAAGAACAACACATATAAGATTCGCCAGCGGCGCTTAGAAGTAGTCAACTTGTAGAAGTAAGTCAAGTTAATTCCACAATGAATCGCCACCTGCAGGATATCTACCAACGGCTCCACGCGGTCAGATGTGGCACAAGACCAAAGTTAATGTGGGGTAACCGATCCCATAGGCTCGGCCAAAAATTCCCCGTAGACACTGTATAAAACAGGGTCGGGTAGTTGTTTCCCGAGCCGAGACTCTGCCCTTCGACATAGACTTGTCTGGGGATCCTCTCTGTCCGGAAGCAGTGAGTTTGACCAGCACAGCTAGAGACTAATCTCCAACTGCAGGATATGTACCAACCGCCCCACGCGGTCAGATGTGGTTCAAGGCCGAATTTAATGTGGGGTATCCGACTCCATAAGTTCGGCCAAAAATTCCCCGTAGACCCCGTGTAAAATAGGTTCGGGTAGCTGTTTTCCGAGATGAGACTCTTCCCTTCGACATAGCCTCGTCTGGGGATCCTCTCTACTCGGAGGTAGAAACTTTGACCAGCATGGCTGGTGCTGAATCTCCAACTGCAGACCAACATACAGTATTTACTACTGTATTTATGTGAATGGGGAGATACCAATTATCGCCGTACGTATGCTACAACAGAATTACTGTCGGCTTCGTTACATTCCTTGCGCGCAAATGCCTTTGGAAAAGTATAACTCCGGCTTATTGCCCTCCAACTATAGGTTAAATAGCAGGACAGATGAAAGGCTTGGTTGGTAACCAGTATACAGGAGAAAGAAACGGCAGCTTACTACGGGGAAATCTGACTTGTTAGTCATGGACCGAAAGTGACATGCTCAATCAAGCGCTTATTAACTGTGGAATTTAATTGTGGATGATTAGGTTTTGTTATGCAAACGGTATATTGATGAGCGTTATAATTTTACTGCTTCGATTACTATCCCAAAGTCTGCTCTGTTGTTCATCCGTTGTTTTCGAGGATGTTTTGGCAAAAAGATTTCTATGAAGGTTCCAGCCAATCGGATCAACTGATGTGGCACTACATTAATCACTAAAAGAAAAACGGTTGAAAAATTAGTTTTCATGTGCAGGATACAAAAAGACCAATTCTAGTTCAAATGATCTCAAATTTTAACAGCATGTGCAGAAACAACTCAAAATTCTACGCTTAATATTTTATTTTATTTCCAAGCGTAGAAATGGCGAACACTCGGAAAAAAAAGGCAGATTTACGGCCAAATCAAGTTGAAACAACGGTTCCAGTATCATTTTTTTAATGCTCGATTCTTTACTTTTCAACCCATAGTCATTCCGAGATAGTTCCAAGAAACGTGGCATATTCTCTCTTTAAATACTAAAATGTCCTCAACATATCGTAGGTTATGAAAAATACTGCCTTTATCTAAGATAATCCCACCTCCAATCCCTCTCTGTGTCGAGCTCACATTTTATCTCTCTACGTATCCCATCTGTTTGCAATAGAAATTGATTGTAAATCGATATCTCAATTTGTCATTTACTGAGTTAATTCCAGTAAAAAAATTCGAGACGGTAAGAGTAAAAAAAAAAGATTTTAATTCAAAAGGGACAAATTTGTTCTCAATAGGTCGTTTGGTCATGAAAGATGATTTAACCCCTCACTAAAAATAACTGCCTTTATGTAGGATGTTACCCACCAATCGTCGCATTCTCTTTTTGTCTCTTTAGGTCCTTCTCTTTCCCTTTGTCTTTCTTTCTTTCTTTCTGTTTTGCCCTATGTGTTACTCTCTCTTTCTGTTTCTTGTTCTCTTGTAACGGCATTCACCGGGGGTGGGTTGAGCCGGCTCCAATATTGGAGTTTCATGGAAATTTGGAATTCACAAGCGGTCCCCAACCCGCATGTATAGGCTTCAGATCAGTTCCCAGGAAACCGACAGCCCGACAACAGCACATGAGATTTGATTATAGTGGTGAAGGTTTCGTGCAGGACCATTCACACTTTTTGAAGGGCCGATCACAGAGACCTGGTGCACTACGTGCCACAAGGTCCCCAAACGACCCTCCGCAGGTTTTGAATTCAGAATTGTCCTTCTAGACCAGTTGTCATCCAAGGCTATAGAACCCATGTTACAAATTCATGACGGTATTCGAGTATAGAATCCAGAGGTTAGCAGTGAATATTTCGGAGACAGTAGGAAAGCGTAGTTCAGGTTAGCAGTGGATATCGCAGCAAAGTAGCAGAGCGTAGTTCTTCCTTCTGTTCATCTTCGCCTGTCAAGTAGGCACTAGACATTCCGGTAGGATAAACAAAGATGGCCGCCTTTATACACGACGGATACAATGTTCTGCGGCTTCTGATTGGTTAACCTTCTATTGGTGGACTATAAAGGGAGTTGAGTCATTTTCACTAACTCACTAGTCATATATATATATATACACACAAAAAACTGTAACAACCCAGTCTGTTCTACTATTTACCCATAGCTGGCGGGAGAAGAAGAGGATTCACACCTTTCCCAAGGGTATTAGCACATAAATGAATGTAGCGGATTCGACTGGAATTCGAACTCGGCTCTCCGATTCCTCAATCCAAGTCGCTATCCATTACTCCACCGTGCCTCCTCATCTCTTTCTGTTTAGCTCTTGCCAAAGCGCAACAAGTGTATTAATATATAGATGTGAGTATGTGTGTGTTCCTGAAGGGTTAAGACAAGGAAAAAAAATTCAGACAGTAAGTTATGTGGCATACGTGATACACACTTAGGCGATCATGTATCTTTCGATACATAACATGACAAGGCAGATTTTTCCCCTCGTATGTTTCCATTTCTTTCTGCAGTAGACCAATTGCTATCCAATGCTATAGAACCCGGTCTATCCTGCTATTTATCCATAGATAGGGGAAAAAGAATAGGATTCATACCTTTCTCAAGGATATTAGCACGTAAGTGAATGTAATGGATTTGACTGGAATTCGAACTCAGCTCTCCGATTCTTCCATCCGAGACGCAATCCATTACTCCTAAGATGGAAATAACCGAATGGAAATATATATTGTATTGAAAAAAGTGTCTTTATATAAAATATTATGACCATCTTTCTACTTGACGCCATTAGGCACACCGAATGATTTTATTCTCTTTCATGGTTCAATAGAAATGAGACGAGGATTATGAACTTGAAACGGCTAAATAGAAATGACCCTTCACTGAATATGTGATTCTCTCTTGAGACTACATCCAGAGACAGGTTCATAATTATTGACCGAGGAAGAAACATTCCGATTTCAACTGACGTTCACTTAATTCTTCATAATACGTGAACCTAATTGGAAGCTTAGAGAATGAGGATCCGAAGCTGAATCTTTATTTAGTCGTCGGATGAAAAGTGAGATTTACAGAAGCTGATCTCTAGAATTTCAGAACCGGATTATGTCAAGGTGAGGCCTGCCAGAAGTAGCTGATTTCTCGAGTCTATAGGTAAAATTCGTTGGAAACTAAGACAAGAATGCTCAACTTGTGTGCCATATTAATCTTTTTAGGTGCCAGTGGATGCTGGATGATCTCCCCATAGTTGAAAATGCAGCGTGAAGCAACAGAGATTAGCCTCTACAGAAGGATGCTGAGAATGCCACAAAAAGAGCATGTAAGCAATGATGAAGTTTTAAGGAAAAGGGAAACAAAGAGAACACTTATACACAGAATCAGATAGAAAGCGTTGAATATAATGAGGAAAGAGGGCTTAGAGAACTTGTTACTCATAGGATATATTGAAGGCAAAAGAAGCAGAATGAGTATTGAGTATTTGTTTTTCACGGCTTATCAACCTTTTTCAGGCTATTTAAATTTGGAACTTATTTTTAAATTATATGAATGTTTTTTTTGGATAATAATGAACTGAAATTCGAATTCGGCTCTCTAGTTTCTCATTCCGAGTTGTTATCCATTACACCACTTGCACATCGAAACTTACAGCACCTGGTATTTCCAAGGGGTCACCCATCTAGATACGGACCAGGCTTGACGTTCCTAAACTTCGGTGATCGGACTAGAACAGGTGTTTCAACGTGATATGACACTAAGCCGACAGAATGTATAAACAACGCAATGAGTTTGTGCAAATGAATGGCAGAAAATGGACTGGGAAGGATAAAACGCTGCTTAGAGTGACAGACGTTGTGAAGAGCAATGATTGCCCACGCTCTGAATGGACACGGCACAAACAATTTTGAGTTTCATCAATAAAAATGTTATAGAAGAGGATTCATACCTTTCCCACGGGTATTAGCTCGTAAGTGAATGTAATGGATTCGACTGGAATTCGAACTCGGCTCTCCGATTCCTCAGTCAGAGACGCTGTCCATTACCCTCAGATAGAAATAACCGAATGGAAATATATATTGTATTGAAAAAAATTGTCTTTATATATATATTATATTATGACCTTCTTTCTACTTGACGCCATTAGGCGCACCAAATGTGCTGAATCGTGTGTTGAACAGATTTAATTCAGGTAATTAGAGCAATTGTCAATGTTCTCGTATTAATTCAAAGTAATGTTCTCATCTTGATTGCTATAGATGTTATTATAGATACAAAGTTTCGACCAGGTACCCTCTGATGATCATCAGGTGTCCATTGATTGGTTGATATCTATTGATTATTGGGATATTTTGCCCCCCTCTAATGTCAGTTATTGTTCGTTCTTACCAAGTTCAAATTCATGAGCACAAGACGTTATTAACAAATGCATAACCAACATCTATATCCACTACGCCACCATCCCTAGGGTCATTATGATTTTGGAGCCTTTTGTCTTCAATACCAGATGATTTTGATATGATATACTACTGTTCGTAATTTAGTTTTAAGTGATAAGCTTTTGTCCGTTTCTTTATTTTTGTGGAGAGACCCTTTCAACAAAATTCATATGATTATATCTGTTGCAATGGATTTACGCCAGGATATGCCATAGGTTCGAACTCGAACCAGAAAACTTTTATCTCATAGGGGATGACTTGTGGTAACCTCAGTATATACTGACCTCAGTACCAAAGTAAAATTTGTCCTTCGTGTTGTGTCAAAAAGTCGAAAGACCTAGTCACCATATAGGGTTGACCTAGGTAACCTCATAGTCGCCAAATACAGAATCGGACGGCAAAGGATGTCGGTAGGTAGACCAACATAAACAGGAAGTCAAACCAACTGTAAATATCATACACGAACTGAATGACAGGAAGTTATGAAAACTGGGTAGGCTGTGGAAACTCATAAATAATAGAAGAATTTGAATTTAACCATTTACTTTTAATTTAAAAATATATATAATCATGTATGTTTGTTTGGGAAATAAATATTATTTTAGGAAAGAAGATATTTGAAAAAATACGAGGCGTAGACTTATATATATATATATATATATATATATATATATATATATATATATATATATTCAAGGCAATTCACTCCAAGCAAGGCAGGAGTCTCACTAGCAAGCAAGGGGTTACAGAGGATTGAGAGCAAGAGTAAAGAGGCGTGTTTGAGGAAAGGATACAGAGAAGGACGGGGAACAAGCTCAGGGTGTCAGATGTTGATTGACATTACACTTGAATATTAGAAGATTATAGTCATCAGGGAAGCAAGTAAGGTGAAGAGAGTTCCACAGGTGGGAAGTGCGGGAGAAGAAGCTGTTTGCGAAGAAGAGACGGTTACATTTAACCGTTTTGACATTGAAAAGGTGGGACCGAGATGCCAGTCTGGTAGCACGTTTAAATTTATGTAGTCCGGGAACCAACGAAAGTAGCTCGTCGGAACAGTTGCCATGAAAATATTTGTAGAAGAGACGGAGGGAGGCCATAGCACGTCTGTGGGATAGCGATTGTAGACTAGATGCCAGATCAGGACCTATATTCTTGCATATTCATCTCTGGATTTTATCAATGACGTCAAGACGTACAGCGGGAGCACCAGACCATATATGACAGCAATATTCCAAGCATAATATGGGAAGATCTGATAGCGCCACGTTCAATAATTTTTCGTCTGAGTTAATTTCTCTAATAATATGCGACATTCTTTAGATCAAAGTTGTGGTCGAACTTATATTTTTTAATGACTTTTATCCTGACTTTCTGCCAGCCAGATGTATATTCATGCCAGTCAGTTATGTGTCATGCGTGATATACACTTAGGCGATCATGTGTCTTTCGATACATGACTGACGAGGCAGATTTTTTTTCCCGCAGTGGGTTTCCATTTCTTTCTGCGGTAGGCCAGTTGCCATCCAGTCTGTCCTGCTATTTACCCATAGCTGGGGGAGAACAAGAGGATTCATGCTTTTCCCAAGGGTATTAGCATGTAAGTGAATGTAATGGATTCGACTGGAATGTGAACTCGGCTCTCCGATTCCTCAATCTGAGGGTAGCTGATGTTGCATGCGACAGCTTCTAGGAGCCATAGGTGAGAGCTGGGTGACAGGTGAGGACCAGTAGCAGACCAGCTGCTCTTAAAATGACATAGCGACCCCCCTGCTAAAGGTACTATCTCTCCCTGACACCCTATATAACTACTAGGAATTTTTAATCGGAAAGCCGATTTCCAATTCGCATTGGGTGCGTTATATTGACTTACGCGCAAATAAACTAGAAAGGTAAGAATCCACTTCTTCTCCCCCAGCGATGGGTTAATTAGTAACACTTATATCGCTAAATCATTATTATCTAAAAAAAAAAATCTTACAATCTGAAAAAAAGTGTTGGCTTTAAATACCTCTAAATGGCACATAAGCCGTTTCTGTTAATAAATACTTGTTGCAAAATAAAATCATTATGGCTAATGCTAACCCCCAAGAAAGTGACCCGTTACACATTCTTAGGTTAACGTTCTTAGCTAAAATTAAGTGGAAAGATTTTATTGAATCCATTGATATGTTAGCTGCTGAGAAAGTTGGTTAACTGTGTCGTATTAGACAATTTTTCTTTCTGTTGTTGAGTTATTTCACAGTGGAGGCTTGTATTTGTATTAAGTTGGTCCTAAAATAGGTTCGACGTACAAAACGTTAGGAACTTGATATAATAGGTAATGACGCAGAGAAATCTAGTCATGATCGCCGATATTTTCGTATTCGACTAATTGTCGTCCGACATCGACTAGTATTTAGTCACCCCTCCCCACGAGAGTATCATGTGGCACAAGGTCGGTTTAACGTGGGATCTCCGAGCTCGTGGGCTCGGCCAAAAATATACCCTTTGAACCCGTATAAACGGTCTCAGGGTCGGTTTACCTCCCCGAACAAGACTCCGCCCTTCGGCATAGCCTCGTTCGGGTTCCTCCCCACCCGAAGGTATACAGTTCAATCGTTCAGCCGGTCGTCCGACATCGACTGACCCTCGTTTCTCTTACTACTCCTATTTATATTAGGTGGGAGAGTCTATTAACTATAGAATAGGTGTGTTTCACCATAAAACTTTCCATAATCTATCTTACATATCTATAAGTCTACCATCCATCCATACTTAGAATATTGCTGCTATATTTGGTTCGCTGATTCTGCCATTTACCTTGACTCTCTGATAAAGTCCAAAGTATTATCGGTCCTGATCTGGCGGCCCCGCTCGGCTCCGCTCGGCTTCAGTCACTTTCTCACAGCTGCAATGTTGCCTCTCTGTGTATTTCCCATAAATAATTTCATGGTAATTGTTTGGATGAGCTCTTCGCTATGTGACGTAGACTTTTTGAATTTAATCGCAGTACTAGACTGGCGCCGAGATCTCATCAATTCACAGTTGAATTGGCTAGATGTTCTAAGTTCTGTGTTAACAGTCACTTTTCTCGCACCTCTCACTTGTGGAACCCCCTTTCCAACTCCATGCTTTCGTGACAACTTTAATCTGCAAAAATTGAAATGAAAAGCCAATAGCTATCCACTGTCCTCCTGATTACTCTTTTTTCTTTCCGCTCATTAGTAATGTCTCTGTTCCTAATTTTTCCACGCCCTTTACTGCCTTTTACTGTCTTGCATGGGGATACCGAAAAAATTGCCTTAATAAAGTCCATCAGTGTAGGTTAACATAAGTTTTCCTTTCGTCTTTATTCATATATATATATATATATATATATATATATATATATATATATATATATATATATATATAGATAGATAGATAGATAGATAAACGTATTATATTAGGCAGCATATATTTTATATTATAAAGAGGTAATCATACAATGGATCAATGAGTAATATTAATGTAATTAATCGCGAATTCTCTTCGCTAACAGGCTTAATATAAGCATTAACTTACTAATAATCCACTGAATGGCGCGATCATTATGGATAAAATTGTTGTCAGACGGATCTGATGTATTTTTAGAGCAGCAAGTACTCTCAGAAACTTCACGTTCTCATCGTCAGGCTGTGATTTTTTCATTAGAAATAAAACTCGAAGACGAAATAAATGTATAATAGACCGAAATATGTTTTTTTTTAAGAATGTGTTATTTATTGACGGTTATATAATTTTAGAACGTTCAAGTCGCAACGTTAGAGTTCAAATATTTCAAGTGAGAATTTTTGGTACGAATTTTGTAATGTGGTAAATTCACAAATTCTTTTATTGTAAGTGTTTTCCAGTTTACGTGACAAGAACTAAGTATATAGTTCAATTAATAGAGTGATATGTCTTAGTCTTTTTTTACGGAATTTCTCTTTATAATGTATGTATATATGTATGTATATGTTCCCGAGCAAATAAACAATAACATTTCAGATATGATAATAAAGAAATAGAAAGAAATAACGAATAGAAAGGGACAAGAAGATGTCGGCCAAGAGAAATGCCTTTCTTTCAAATGATGTCACCTATGTTAGAATCCATTCCAAACAATCTTGTCATATTGTTTTTGACGTAGAATTGACGTAAATTAGAATATTTTAATTAATATCTTAATGGCATGAAGACAGCGGCGTCCTTGGAATTCTAGACACAATTCTTGTCTGCAGACGAAAAACGAACTGTTGGAACTATAACGAAATTGCTTAAATTACCCTCCCCTCCCCAGATCGGAGATTGGGAATTAATGACACTTTATCGGGTAGGCGAAGGTGGCTTTGGGTACGTGGACAATTATATTCTCTGTTTATCTTTCTCGGAGAAACTCCATTATTTCAGGACGTAGTTCATTCTCGCCTGCAAGGAAACAATGTAGACCGGTCGTTGGATTATGAAACATAATCTGTACTTGCAAAAATGTCTCCACGTCTCTCACAGCGAGTTGAAATGAAAGAGCTCTTCAGCTAACAAAAGTGAGAGTACATTTGTCGTTTGTCTTTTGTGTGTGTGGGGGGACGCTTGAATTATAATTGGTCAGTAAACAGTCGTGAGAAATGCGACGGGGGTGGAAAGATGGACAGGGATTTAGTTACTGCTGCTCACGCCGCAAGTGTAGAAAATTTCCTGAAAAACACAGGAGAATATCGAGAAATCCTGTCCAGTAAGCCAACTCATTATCCTTTTAGAAAAGAAAAACTAAAAACCTACCACTTAGATAGTTATAGTTGCTTCTTAATTTCATGCTAGACCATTTTTCTCTCTAGAATCTATCTTGCATATTTATAAGTCTACCATTCGTCCATGCTTAGAACATTCTTGCCACATATGGTCTGTTGCTTCTGTTATATATTTAGAGATTCTTGATAAAATCCAAAGAAGAATCAGCAATATTATTGGTCCTGACCTGGCGTCTCGGCTTCAGTCACTTTCCCATCGCCATAATGTTGCTTCCCTGTGCCTTTTCTATAAATACTTTAATGGTAATTGTTCGAATAATCTCTCAACTATAGTACCTTTTTCATAAATATTCATTGGGGTTAGATTTTTAAATTTGTTATTTCATTCCCCTCTCATAACAGACAAATGAATTGTACATATGGAGACTAGTTAGGACTTTCACAGAGACAATGAGGTATTATGGTGAATGTAGTAAGAAAGGTAAGAAACCGTTTAGTCTCAAACATGAACCAAAAACGTCAAAAAGAGCCCTAGAGTACATACTTTAGATATCCGCCGTTGTATTAACTTCTATTACTGACTATACACACACACACACACACACACACACACACATATATATATATATGTATGTATGTATAAAAGGACCTTGAAGGATATTGTGTATCGCAGAAAACTGACTACATTAGCGGCCCTTAGACAATAAATTGAAAATGCATGTGCAGCAATCCGAGTTGACACTTTGGCCAACATTGCTTAAGCAGTAGTTTGGAAACTTTGGAAAGCGCCTACACAAACTCGAAATACGTTAAGTAAAATGTCAAATAAATATATAAACGTAACAGACACCCGTCAAGTGGGGGGGGGGTAAAGAAATAATTAAAAGTGTAATGAGAAAGTCATGTAGTTAAAAAGAGAAAAAATGCATATTTAACGCTGTTTTAAGGATTTATTTGCTTTTACTTATTTCTAAAACAATTACCGATAGATTCAAATACATGGTGTCTCACAATTTTTGAAACAAAATGATCGGCCAAAAAAATCAAGGACCACACATGATAGAATAATAGAAATAACATTTATTGAAAGGTAAAAAGATAATATTTCAGGATTTGAAACCATTTAGTCTCAAACATGAACAAAAAATATCAAGCGAGACCTAGCTAGAGTACATACTTCAGATATCCGCCGTTCTATTAATTTACTATATATATATATATATATATTTTATTTATTAAACATTTTTATGTTTAACGTTCTTTTTATAGATATAAGTATTTAAGTACTTAAATACTTGTATCTATAAAAAAAGAACGTTAAACATAAAAATGTCTTTAATAAATAAATTGTCGGACTTTGTCCATTTCTTAATATATATATATATATATATATATATATATATATATATATATATATATATATATATAAGGGTCTTAAAGGATATTGTGTATCGCAGAAAACCGACTACATTAGCGGCCCTTAGACAATAAATTGAAAATGCATATGCAGCAATCTGAGTGGACACTTTGGCCAACATTGCACAAGGAGTAGTTTTTCGGCTTTTTAGATTTGGAAACTTTAGAAATCTTCGACACAAACAGTCAAATACATGGTGTTTCATAACGATCGGGCACAAATCAAGTACCACTGATTGAAAGCTAAAAGGATAACATCTCAGGATCTGAAACTATTTAGTCTCAAACATGAACCAAAAACATCAAAAAGAGCCCTAGATGTCCACCGTTCAGTTGAAGGCATTGTTTCGATTCTTATGTCTTACTATAGCCTTTCCTGAGTATTATAGGAAGGCCGTAGATCACAAAGCCCGAAACGCTGTGATAAAAAATCACAGAGACGAGGAGAATAGTCCGAATATAAATAGTGTGAAGAGCTGAAGTTCCTGGGACACATAATGAGGAAGGAGGGCCTGTAGAATCTGATAGTCACGGGTCGAATAGAAGGAAAGAGAGACAAGGGAAAACAACGCATGACATGCTTAGCGGCAAGTGGATGACAGAACGGGGTCTGGGGGAAGTGGCAGAGGGAAGGAACTTGTTGAGAGCCGCAAAGGATGGAGGGAGAAGTGGAGAGCCATGATCGCCTATGTCTTGAAAGGACACGTTCCATAGAAAGTAAAAAGAAATAATGATAACACCTCATCCCAGAAATTAAGACAAAGATTAATAAAATTTATATTACGAAATCATTATTACCGCTAAAAAATCCTTACGATTTAAAAATATTTTCTGGCTTGAAATAAAGGGTTGATAAGCCATAAAAAACGAATCAATAAAAGTCAACATTGAGGACGACAAAGAATATATCAATCCAAAGTGAATTAATAAAATAAAAACATATATGTCCATTTGGGAAGATTTCATAAGAGAATCTGTTTATATTTCTGAGATGAGGTATTATGTACACTATTGACATTATTCAGACTATTGTCCTCATCTTTGTCTCCATATTTATTACAACGTTTCGGCTGTTGTATGCTCCGGCCTTCTTCAGATGGTTGGAATGTCGAACTGAACACTTTATTTTGCTCACTGGGGTAGCCTGTTCTAGTTCCACGTGCCATGTCTAATGGATGTCAGTTATCAGTTATCTCCTGTTAATTCCCCTCTCCAAGTTCTCCCCTGCCTTAACCGGGTATTGAACTCACACTCAAGGACACGTGGAACAGTGGATAAAGGCGTTAGTTAGATCCAGTGACAGGGTCCAAAGAGTGTGAGTTCAATAATTTTATAATTGTCTTGTCCACAGAATTGATATGGGAATTTAACTATATTGTCGACATGGAAAAAAATCCTTTACTATAAAGGTAATTTACATTAATCAGAAAAAAAGGCTTAGACAGAAGCGTTTATCTTTTTAAATTTGGATTTTTTAATGTAACTATAACAACAAAAACATTTCGATTTCATTTTTGCCTTGAAAAAGTCGGAAGACGAAACGCGTCGGCAAAATCTAAGATTTTTTTCCAATTTTCATTTTATACCATATATATATATATCTGTCTGTCTGTCTGTCTGTCTCTCTCTCTCTCTGTGTGTGTGTGTGTGTGTGTGTGTGTACCCAAGTATAGGATTGGTGTATACGGAATAAACTCCAATAACCAAAAAGAAGAACCAAAGACGGATAATTCCGGAAGAGTTAATGCTTATGACGTTTTAATTTCAAGATCTTTTCAAGACTAAATGACAGTTTATTTGATTTAGAATTTAGAACCCAATAAAAAATGTATCCGGAGCGCTGTTTTGATTTTGGTGAAAAAAAAGAAAGAAAACAGACATTCTAAAAAGAAAGAAAGAAAGAAAGAAAGAAAGAAAAAGGATAAAACGAAAGAAAGAAAGAAAGACAGGATGAAACGAAAGAAAGAAAGAGTGGATGAAACAAAAGAAAGAAAGAAAGAAAGAAAGAAAGAAAGAAAGAAAGAAAGAAAGAAAGAGGATAAAACGAAAGAAAGAAAGAAAGACAGGATGAAACGAAAGAAAGAAAGAGTGGATGAAACAAAAAGAAAAGAAAGAAAGAAAGAAAGAAAGAAAGAAAGAAAGAAAGAAAGAAAGAAAGAGGATAAAACGAAAGAAAGAAAGAAAGACAGGATGAAACGAAAGAAAGAAAGAGTGGATGAAACAAAAGAAAGAAAGAAAGAAAGAAAGAAAGAAAGAAAGAAAGAAAGAGGATAAAACGAAAAAAGAAAGAAAGACAGGATGAAACGAAAGAAAGAAAGAGAGGATGAAACAAAAGAAAGAAAGAAAGAAAGAAAGAAAGAAAGAAAGAAAGAAAGAAAGAAAGAAAGAAAGAATACAAGCTAGGAGGGGGGGCGATAATTACCAAGAGTATTTTATGATCGTAAGGAGCTTATTGAATCATAAACTTAAGAATTATGACTCCCCAGAAGAATAAAATGGATAAATCAGGAAACTTTCACGATTGCTGCGGGTGTAAATAATTTATATTTACCGCCAAAAAGCCTGGCAAATGAAGAGACATTAAGTGAGAAATAAAAAATCAAATGAAATCCGAGAAGCAATAAACAAAGAAAGCAACAGTAAAACTGAGAAAAGAAATGCAAAGAAAGGCAACATAGACAGAAAAGAATGGACGAACGCAAGGACAGAGACATTCCTATGCAATTAGAGACACAAGTCTGGCGATAAGAACGATTGCGTTTGTTTAAAACTTTAGTAACGATTTGAAATTTCGCTTTTTTTTCTTTGAGATAGATAGATAAATAGATATGAACACACTGATATATATATATAGATAGATAGATATGAACACACTGATATATATATATATATATATATATATATATATATATATATATTGATAGATAAATAGATAGATCTGCCAAATGAATAGATTTGAATGAGATAGATAATGAACTGACATAGATAGATAAATAGATAGATAGATAGATATGAACATACTTATATATATATATATATTGATAGATAGATAGATAAATAGATAGATCTGCCAAATGAATAGATTTGAATGAGATAGATAATGAACTGACATAGATAGATAGATAGATAGATAGATAGATAGATAGATAGATAGATATGAACACACTTGAGATAGATAGATAGATATGAACACACTGATATATATAGATAGATAGATATGAACACAATGATATATATATATATATATATATATATATATATATATATATATATATATATAGATAGATAGATAGATCTGCCAAATGAATAGATTTGAATGAGATAGATAATGAACTGACATAGATAGATAGATAGATAGATAGATAGATAGATAGATAGATAGATAGATAGATATGAACACACTGATATATATAGATAGATAGATATGAACACACTGATATATATATATATATATATATATATATATTGATAGATAGATAGATAGATAGATAGATAGATAGATAGATAGATAGATCTGCCAAATGAATAGATTTGAATGAGATAGATAATGAACTGACATAGATAGATAGATAGATAGATAGATAGATAGATAGATAGATAGATAGATAGATAGATAGATAGATCTTCCAAATGAATAGACTTGAATTAGATGAACTGAGATGAATTAGATGACTTAAAATAGATAAACTGATAGATAGAAAGAAATAGACTGATATAGAGAGATAGATATGAACCGCCTGAGATAGATAATGAACGGAAATAGATAGATAGATAGATAGATAGATAGATAGATAGATAGATAGATAGATAGATAAACTCGCATTCATAGCCGATTTAACGTTACACAATGCAATTGATGCAAATGCAATTGAAGTTTCTAACTATCAACTTCAAAAATGTATATTTCAGTTTAGAATAACATGAATGAATCGGAATAAGAAAAATTCAAATCTCCGAATTGTTGCTCACGATAAACATGTTAAATTATTTCGGTAGAAGAAATTTCTGTAGTCCTGGAACCCATGAATTCTTCGAAGTCATTTTCAGCTGTTGCTTGTTTGTTCTACAGAAAATTGTCGACATGCTTGAAAAAGTGGTAGTTGGAGTGAATTCTGATGACTATTGGGTGAGGGTGGAGTTTCGTCGGCTATTTGGTTCAGTTTCGGCAGAGCAATTTGCGAGACATGCGGCCTGGCCTCGTTATGGAGAAGCATCCCTCCTTTGTGACTCATCAATGTTGAACGAGAACGGTGTTATTCTTGGGAGGCATGCTCGGTGCCTTGTACCGAATCAGTAAATACTTGTCTCCTTTTCCCATCGATGAAATATTGTTAGCCACTCGCTACTCTATCGTCTTTTTCATCTCAGGTGTTCGGACGATCTCCGTTGTTTAGTTTTAACTGTTCAGACATTTGCAGCCAGGACCCGCCAGCCATGCTATGTACACAGGATGAACAAAATCTCATTCCTCTTTTATAAGCCAGTCTAACACTGCTATTGAGTTACCCTCTGACTCTTAGGTCTTGCACTGGGTGTACTATAGTACAAAAACATTCTGCCGAGTTTCAGCCAGGGTACAAGAAGTTCTAATACAAGAAGTTGAGGAAAGCCATGATCGCTCAAGTCACTGCAACTTTGATTGGGAAAAAGTGTCTTGCTGCGTCTCTTCGATCCATTCACTGCGCGAAATGCAGTCGAATGTCGTATTTTATCCTTTTTTTTCCATCACATATCATAATTCGATCAAGAAATGAATCGATTTTGGTGTGCAAAGAAGGGCATAGGATTGTAATGGGGAAAATTTATGTTAAAAATATTTTAATTCATTTCGTGTGCGTTTTTATTTTTTGTTTTTATTTAAAAGGTACTTGGACTCTAAATGACTAGCTGAGAGACTTTGGTGTTTCTTTGCAAAGAATTCTCACAAAAGAAGTAGTAGTAATGAAAGAAAGAGAGGAAGAGAAATGAACAGACTGAGGTAGATATGAACAGACTTAGATAGATAGATAGATAGATAGATAGATAGATAGATAGATAGATAGATATGAACAGTCTAAGATAGATAGATAGATAGATAGATATGAACAGTCTAAGATAGATAGATAGATAGATAGATAGATAGATAGATAGATAGATAGATAGATAGATATGAACAGTCTGAGATAGATAGATAGATAGATAGATAGATAGATAGATAGTGATTGAGGGAATGAGTCGGTGAGAGATAGATGTTAATAGACATAGATAGATAGATAGATAGATAGATATGAACAGTCTGAGATAGGTAGATATAAACAGACTGAGATAGATATGAACAGACTTAGATAGATAGATAGATAGATAGATAGATAGATAGATAGATAGATAGATAGATAGATAGATAGATATGAACAGTCTGAGATAGATAGATAGATAGATAGATAGATAGATAGATAGATAGATAAACTCGGCGTTTATACGAAACTGAACGTGGCACAAATGTATTAGGTTGGTACAAATGTAATTCAAGTTTATAGCCATCAAATTCAAACCTGCATATTTTAGCTTAGAAAAAAAAATGTATGAATTGAAATAAGAAATAATTAAAATCGACGAATTGTTGCTCGCAATAAACGTGTCAATTTATTCAGGTAGAATAGATGTGTGCGAGAGTGGGGGGGGGGAGAAGAAAGAAACAAATATTTGTGCGCACATTTACCAACAGGCTGTAGATTTAACCCTAACTTTAACATAAACGACTATGTTGTGAGGGAGCTTAAAAAAAAAAACGCTGTTTTAAAACTCAGCATGACACACGAGGACGCGACATTTGAAAATCTATAAAACTGACAGCGAAAAACAAACAAAAATCTTTCGATAAGGTCTTTTGAAAGCCCTTAGTGCTCAAATATTAGATAATTCATATTAATATCTGCACCGGAAACCAGGAAAACTGTCTGGGATGTAGAAAACAATTGTCCGAAATAGCGAAAAACAAATAAAAATACTTAAATTTCGTTGGGCTATAAACAAAATATATATATATATATATATATATATATATATATATATATATATATATATAATCATATTTCTATTTAAAAATATTTTACCTCGTAACACGGAAATTTTTTGTCTCGGAACTTTAAATTTGTTCCATTATCAAATGATGTTAGGTAACTTTTTGATGAAAATGATTTACTTTTGAAAACAGAATGGTGTTTTTGAAGACTTAAGAAGTAGTGGGGGGAAACAAGATTTCAGAAAAGTAAAAAAAATATAGGTTAGGGGTTAGGGGTGTATGCGTTATTCATACTTGTCTAGATGAACCATTATTTTTAGACGTGTTACCATTACCGGTTAAGAAATATATTTTTACGACACAACGAAACGACAATTTACCCATCGCACCCTCTCTCTCTGTCTTTCTCTCTCTCTCTGTATATATATATATATATATATATATATATATATATATTAAGCATTTCACCCCTAGCAAGGCGGGAAGCCATTAGAACGCAAGGGGTTATAGAGGATTTGGAGTGAGAGCAGGTTGGAATGATAGAGGAAAGGATCGTATATAGATCAAGGCAATTAGAGATGTAGATTGACATTACATTTGAATAGTTGGGGATTATAGCTGTCAGGGAAACAGGAATAGGGAAGGGAGTTCCACAGGCCAGAGGTGCGAGACATGAAGCTATTGGAGTAGAAGAGACGGCTACATGAAAGTATTTGTAAAAAAAAAGTATTTGTAAAAAAAAAGACAGATATATATATATATATATATAAAATATCGCTCATTGATTGTTGATGCTAATAAAATAGTGCTCGATGTATAATAACAGAGCTATAATCTATATTAATAACAAATATACAAGTTTTTCTTACTGGTAGCAGAACTCTTTCACTCAGCATCTGATGATTGCATTGTGCAACTCAAAGTTGTACTACCACATTTGTATTTATTATATATATATATATATATATATATATATATATATTAATAATCTATTATTAGTAATACATATATATCCTATAAATATATATATATATATATATATATATATATATATATATATATATATATATATATATATACATATATATATATATATATATATATATATATATATATATATATATATATATTCCAATTCACCTTCTTATTTTTTTTTTCCAGTTTTATGAGTTTCAACCTTGACTTCTCTACACCTATTTTCTCGCCTCGTGTTTTGCTTTGACAATTCCTTCTCGCCCCAATATTGTTATTTCTTTCACCCACAAATCGCAAACTAATTTCCAGTTCAGAAGGGCTGGGAATCGAGCATATATTTCACTTTGATCTTGAGCCAAAAGGCGTACGTATAAACATGAAGAAAAATAGTATAGATTACTAATGACTTAAATTTGTACTGTTTTAGAGTGACAGAACAGTTAAGGAAAAGAAAGAAACGTTGCTCACCAATTGTCTATGACACCTACTCGTCCTAATGACAAAACGAAAACTGAGATGGGAACAAGGAAAATCAAGGGAAAAGACTATAATCAACTCTACAAAGCTAAATACGCGAAAAGTGAGTTACAAATGTCACAGTATGTAAACAAATCTAAGTACAATGGACTCAAAAAAAAATCTCCAGTCATTACTCTCCCTATTCCGTCTTTTGTAGCTCTTAATAACTTCTGTCTTTTTACAAACCCTCTTGCCTCATTATGTACACAAGAAATTTCATCTCTTTTTCTGATGATAAATATGTGTCCTTTTTATTACCACTGTCTCTAAAACTTTGTCATTGCTAGATTATGCGTTGTCCGTCTTGTCTTCAATCTGTCTTGTGGGTATCAAATTTTCCAAGCCGTCTTTCCTCATTATGTGCTTCAGAAATGTCTCTTTCTGCTGTTAAGTATAAGTATCTCTTTTGTTAAAATTGTCTCAAAAACTTTGTCATTGCTCATATGTTTGGTCCATGGTGTTCTCAGTATCCTTCGGTAGAACCACATTTCTGTTGCTTATATTAATTTTTTGTCTTAGCAATTCACCCCTAACGATGATCTCAGATGAGATAGAAAATACTTGGCGAAAAAAAAATGAAAAATACTACAGCGCCTTCCTTAATAAATTTAATAATAACATTAAGAAGGCAACGGGGAATTCGAGGGGATTACAATAAAAATAAATAGACTCTTCTTCATCTGTGGAGATTGTCCAGCGTTGTCTGTCATAGAGGAGGACTGATATTACATAACGGTTGAGTACTGTTTTATTGGTTTCTAACGATATTTGTCTATTTCTTAAAGGTTTGCTCAGCTTAAGTTGAGGTTTTAATAGGCCCCGGAAAAATGAATTAGTTTGAACACCAGCAAGAGGGCTAAGCTATTATCTACTGACATTGGCGGATTTACATGAAAAAAGGCCCTAGGTCATGCCATTTGTGAGGCCCCTTGAAATCCCCCATTCTCACGAGTAGAGGAAAATACAAGCGTGTTAAATTAAACAATATGAGTAAAGCCGAGGATGTTTAAAATTACTGAAGGTTTGTTTAGACTCTACATTATGACAGTATGTGTAAGAAAGGCTTTTGACCGAGTTAAAAATTTTATACATCTTGTATATTCAATCATAGTGAATTTGGCATGGGTTTTGAAATCGTGTTTTTCCAGGCGGAAATATTGTTCTACAGGTAATAATGTTTTATGGGGAGTCGACTTAATTATTAATTCTGTAGTGAAAGGGCCATTCAGATTTTCCTACATATTGTTTCTGGCATAGTGTGCATTCTAAAAGGTAAACTATGTTATGACTTCTACAGTTAGAATCGTGATAGATTTTGAAAGTAGATTTAGT